ATTGACTGAATGGAATATCAATTTCTTTGGAAGCCTTTATTCCAGTCACAAGAAAAAAATGAAACATCAAATTCTTTGTAGAATTTAATTCAAATAATAATAAAAAAATTAATAATGAAAATCCACAATGAGAAAAAAAAACTAATAAAAAAAACTAATAATATTTGTCAAGGTGAAAGAAGTGAAGAACAAAGTTAAGGCTTGAGCTGCAATATCAGAGGATCTCATGGGTCCAACATGCAATGATGCAAGAAATACTGAAATCAGATAGATGGAATGTATGGAGTCACTGTACAAAGAACTGGTCAACACTGAACCATTCCTGGAAGTAGCAGATGATGAAGACCAAACAGTACTTCAATTGATCTGGCCTCTACTATGTGCCACATGTTCATCTAGACCACCTTCCATTCTGTCATCCTGTAGGTAATCTCTCTTCTCTTTTATAGTTGAGCGAATGGAGGCAGAAGATGTGACGGCTGAGTGAGAAATCTGGGTCTCTCCTACATAAAAAATATGCCTTCGAAGGGTCCCTCCAGCTCATATGTGAATCTTTTTCTAAAGAAAGCTCTTCAGGGTGCTAACATAATTTCCTCCATCATGGAGAATGTTCTGCCAATTCTGGAAGCCAAAACTCCCCAGCCCCTGGCTCTCTTTTACCTTGGCGCCCTCTGGGATTTCCTCCTCCTCTTTGGTTATATACTCCGTCCATGCGTTCCAATGTCCTCTCCCTTGCTTGAGGAAATAGAAGTCATAGATGCTTCCTACACCCCAAACAAATGAAACAGATCATTAGCACAGGAACATTGCAAATTTAATATCTGAAATATTTAACTATCTGAGCATCTCAAAATGTATAACCACCCAAACTAGTATGTTGTTGCTGTGAGGTGCTGTGAGTCACAGATGTTGAATAGCACAGCAATCCTATGAACAATGGATCTGAACTCTGTCCTATCCTGTGCCATCCTATCAACTCTGACACACCTGAATTCACTGCTGTAGTCTCTGCACCAATCCATCTGGCTGAGGGTCTTCCTTTCCTTTACTGACATGCCACCTTTCCAAGCATGATGTCCCTTTCCAAGGAACAGCCGGCTGCTAATTGTATAAACTGTGTTCCTAGGGTCCCTTTGAGTTACACTTGATGGCACCTAACAACAACAATCATATAAACTGGAACATTTCCTCAAGAGCAATTAATTTTGTAATAAAAGCAATGAGTGCCAATTATAGAAGTTATTTATTATATAATTGTAGAAATTATCAAACAATGTCATTAATATCCCATACAAGCAAGACTCTGCTGAAAATTATAAAAAAAATAAAAAACCACAACTGGAACTGTACATCAACAGAGAACTGTCAGATGTGCAGGCTGGGTTTAGAAGAGGCTGTGGTATTAGGGATATTGTAGCTAATCTTAGATGGATATTGGCTGAAAGCAGGGAGGACCAGAGGAATGTCTATCTGTGTTTCATTGATTATGCATCACATTATGGATCAACAACAAACTGTGGCTGACTCTGAGATGAATGGGAATCCCAGAACACTTGATTGTGCTTCTGTGAAACCTATACTTGGACCGGGAAGCAGTCGTCAGAACAGAGCAAGAAAACACTGCAGAGTTCAAAATCAGGAAGGGTATATGCAAGGGATGCACCCTATCTCTTTACCATTTCAATCTATATACAGAATAGATCATCCAGGAGGCTGGGCTCTATGAGGAAGAATGAGGCATCAGGATTGGAGGAAGACTCATCAGCAACCTGCATTATGCAGATGACACAACTCTGATTTCTGAAACTGAGGAGGACCTGAAGCTCTTGCTGTAGAAGGTTGACTGCAGCCTTCAATATGGACTGAAGTCCAATCTCAAGAAAACAAAGATTCTCACCACTGGGCCGAATGGCAGCATCATGGTAGTGAAGACTGAGATTGTTGACAGCTTCAGTTTTGTTGGCTATATACAATCAATACTCATGGTACCAGCAGCCAGGAAATCAAAAGA